CTTATTGTAAGGGGACTGTTACCCCTTACTAAAACTCCGTGGGAGTTTTTTGGTTTACCAGCTTCAGAAGGGGAAGGGTTCATGAGACTGACAGACCCCAGAGACAATGGAAAGCAGTCAACACTCCAGCTCAGCCTGACTGACAGGTTGTAAGTGGGGATTGTTCTGGCTCTGTCTCTGAACAAACAAGCTGTGTGCAGAAGAGGTCCTGCAAAGACAGAGAGCTGAAAGAGGAGTACAAGAAGAAGTCCTGCAGCGACAGAACCAGACACAGACAGGCCAAGCAGTGCAGACCCTGTGTTGAGCAGCAGACTGGCAGTGCTCAGAAAGCCAAAAGGAACAGAGAAACAACACAAGGAGCTGGAACTGGCCAAGCAGCACAGCCTGCAGCTGGATGTGGTGAGCTACTGGGACCTGCAAAGTGTGGGGAAAGGCTCTGGACTGGGAGAGGGGTCTGGCCACTTCAAGCTTGAGACTGTGTGGTCACTACCAGAGCTAGCATGTCCAGCCTGTAGCCCCCCCTGCAGCATATCCAGGGCCTCTAAGAAAGAGACTGTGGACTGTCCTTATACTCTGCAGACTGCTGTTTTGATGTCCCTGTGCTACAGAGCAGGGCTGTGTGTTCTCATTTAACCATTCTCATTTTTTTCTTATTCTTTTCTCTTTAATCCGTTGTTGTTTAATAAATTGTATTTGCTTTGAACCTTATGAAGTGATCACTGGGCCAAGAAGGCCTGCAGTGTAAAGAGAGCACCTCGGAGTGGGGACACCCTAACTCCTGCCCCTAGTGACTACAAGGTCAGGGATTAAGCCCCAGGAAACCTGGGCCCAGCCTTGTTGGGGTTTCAAGGGCTCTGCTACTCAGGAGAGTGGAGGGGGAGCCCTCAGGATCAGGGAGCCGTGGGGTAAAGGAAGTGGGAGCGGGGACTCAGATCCTTTCGCTGGTTCATTTCACCGGGGTGTATAGAAGCCAGGAAAGTTCCCCACAATAGCGGGATCATTCCCCCGCTTACACATAGCCCAATTGTTTTCACTGTCAGGGGGCTCAGTGGCCCCTCCCTCTCCCTACCTGCTCTCCCAAAAGAGACAGACCTGGCTCCCCTTTCTTTTCCCCCAGCAATTGCCAGGCTGAAAAGCAGATATCAGAGACAACAAAAGTAGTAGTCTATGAGGCTCTGTGGCACAATGGAAAGTGTGTGTGGTTTTCTAAGCTTTGGTGCTCACTCTGAGCTAGGTCAATCATTCCAAGCTTGTGGGTTCAAATCCCACCAGAGTCACTTTAGGTGCTTCCCCATTTCCAGAGTAGCTATTACAGAACAGGAAATCCTTAGGCTGACACCAGGATGGGCTTTAGTCCAGACAGGTCCCAGGAGACCCCAGCAAGGGTGGGGTCAAGGGCTGCTCTGAAAGGCTGCATGTGCCCACAGACCCTTTTGTCCCCCCATGTCTCCTACCAGTGCTGTGCATCACTCAAGCTATGTCTACACACACTGTTCTTCTGAAAAAGCTAGGCAAATTGTGAACCCTAGTTTGCATAGCTTTTTCTGGAAGAAGCTTTTCCAACCGGGCCAAATGTGGGGGAAAAAACCTTTTTTTGTAACATCCCTTCTTCATAAAATGAGGTTCACAGAGGCACCAAAAAGGCATGTCTGCTCTTCCAAAAAAAAATCGGCAGCTGTGTTCTCTGGACTAAAGCGTCATCTCTGTAGTGTAAACAGAGCCCTGATGTAACATCTTATTTCAAGTTTAGGTGCAGCATAGATAGAGGGTTGACTCAGAGTCCTTAGTGCTGCCTCTTAGACCATGGGACCTACAGAAGACACCTGTGACTCAGCTGGGCCAAACTGGAGCCCTGGCCCAGGCCCCCTGGGACCAGCTTTGCTTGTTTTTCTTCCACCCAGAGCCCCCTTCTTCTCCTGGGCTGCAAGGAGCCTCCCTGGGACGCCCTGAGACAGACACAGGGCTCTGCCTCCCCACAGCCAGCCCCACCCCACAGGCTTTGGCAGAACAAGGCAGGGGGGAGGTCTCTGCTCACCCTACTGAGTCCCACTGAGACGTTGAGCTTTTGTCCTGCCCTCCTCAGCTTGGCCTCCCTCCTCTGTTCCCTTCCTGCCTTACTTCCTCCTTGGGCAAGTCACCTTAGGGAAGTAGCAGGAGGAACTGGCCCCATACACCTGCTTCTGAGAACATGGGAGGCTAAAACACAAGTGTCCATCAGGTGCCTGGCCTGACCCATCTGGCTTCCCCACGCTGGCACCCTCAGCTGATGTCACCCCCCTCTGTTGCATAGGAGTTGGGCTCATCTCGGGCAGGAGGAGCTGCACTTACCCGGGCACCCAGGGGAGCAGAAATAAGAGAAGACCCTGTGTTTCCACCTGGCTTTGAACCAAGGACCTTTTGCACATTAGGGAAACAGGAGAACCACTACAGCACAGAATCACACTTCAGGGGATGGAACTTGGCTGACTGTTCTGTTCCTAGCTCTTTCTAACACCCTGCTCTGCAGGGGAGGAGAATGAACCTTGTGAACACTCCACCTCTTGCTCTCACGGAAGCAACTAACCGGAGCTGCCAGCTCCTCATTTCCTCACCAGCCCCTTGAGATTTGTAGCTCAAAGCTGGAGCTGCTGTGGAAGGAGGTGAAGCTACAGAAGCTGTCGGGGGAAGGGTTATTTTTTCTCCTCCCTGGGCTGATGTGGCTAGAACTGAGAAGAAAATCCTCTTCCCTTCTCCTCAGAAGATGGAAATTGCAGTTGGTTCTCTCTCTGCTTCTACTGAAGCTGGACCCCAGGACTAGACTTTTTCTTTCTAAAACCCTGGTGAAAACTGAGAGCCAATTGCTTGTAAGCTAAGAATGTGAGTTAAGGAAGGGCACCGCCCAGCACAGGGCTTGAACCCATGACCCTGAAATTAAGAGTCTCATGCTCTACCAACTGAGCTAGCTAGTCTTCCTAATATCCCAGTATAGCATAACAGGAGCCAAGTGTTCTCCACTCCCTGACTCAAAGCTCTTTCTTGTCCCTAATGTGAGGTTCTGGTCTGTGGAGGGGTTTGAACTCAAACCCCACTCCCAACACACCCACTTCTTTCCCCACACGGAACGGCCCCATTTCCATCTCTCCAGGGACAGGAGAAGGGCTCTGGCCTGTTCTCTGCAAAATGCTCAGCCTGTTTCATTTTCTGCAGGAACGAGTGGGCCCCTACTCCAGAGGCCCCTTCCTACTCGGCCTCCCACAAAGCCGGGGTGAAAAGTTGCTAGACCCAAGCCCTCCTGGGCCAGGCCATGGCACAGGTAGCAGGATTCACTTCCATCTTCTCCTGCCTGTGCCCTGGTGCTGAGGGGCCATCCCCTTTCCTGCTGCCCCAACTCTTATTCCCACAATGCACTTTGTGCAGGGGCAATTGGTCTTTGTGCCAAGGTGCGTGGCTGGGAGCCAGGACTCGGGACCCTTCTCCCTCTCCCCGGCTCACATTGTCTGGCTGCCTCCAGCACAGGCTGAGCTCAGGGGCCAGGTGGGTGACCTGCCCTGCAGCTGTGATGGCATTAAGCCCTTCCCACCCGCCTGCTCAGGCTGGAGATGGAGCTCCAGGGGGCATCAGACACCCAGCAAGAGGAACAAAACTCTCTTTGTTGAACCTCAGTGCATGGAACCCAAAGCACCCGAACCTTGTAACAATCAGCTGAGCCCCAGCAAGTCCCACTGAGATTTAAACTCAGATTGCAGGATTCAGAGTCCTGAGTGCTGCCCCTTACACCATGGGACCTGTGGGGTGAAAGTGGAGTGGGCATCTCTGATTCTCAGCTCTCAGGCTGGTCTCTGCTCTCCTGGCTCCCTCCAGCTGCTTCATCTCCCAGGACTCCTTGTCCTGCCCCAGCTCTGCTGCTTTTAGGGCAAATTCCTTGTTAGGACCAGTCACACTCTGGGGTCAGTGAGGGTCCCTCCCACCTGAGATGTGAGGTCACACAAAAGCCTTGTTTCCTGCTCCGTTCCCAACACTGGATGCAAACACATGGTTGCTCTGGGGGTGTAACAAGTGCCCCCTTAAAAAGCTCATTACTGTTATTGTTGTTTCTGTGGTGTAGTGGTTATCACATTTATCTAACAAGCAAAAGGTCCCTGGTTCAGAGACACAGAGTGTCCTCTTATTGCGGTTTCCCCTGGGTGCCCACACGGCAGTGCCAGCGTCGGCCCTGTGGTACAGGGCTGGGCTGCACGTGTGCTGGCTTTCAGGAGCATGTGGGAGACAGCTAAACAGGTTAGGCTGAGATTGGAGGAGGCAGGGCTGGGGCTGAGACTTCTCAGTGATGCCTTGCCTGAGACCAGGTGGTTCCTGCCACACAGTCCAGTGCCAACCCTGGAAGTGCCACTGCTGTAGCTGCGCACCTTTGGGGCAGCGTGGCTGTTGCCTTTGATGCAAGGGGACATAAAGCCACATAATGTCCCGCCTCATCCCCAGACCCCAGCCACCCCGTTCCCCTTGCTTTCTTCCCATGCAGAACCCCCCACTTCCTTTTACACCTTCCCTTGTTCCTGCTCCCCCACTCTGCTCCTTCATCCATGTTCCTTCTGCACCCTTTCTCCTGGCTTCACACGGCTCCTTGGCGCTTCTTAAGCCAGGCCCTGCAAGGATCCACCAGGGCAGGAACCAGACCTTGGAGCTCGGCTTGCACCGGATCTGGTAGTTTCCTACCACATCTCACCTGAGAAGAGGTGACTTGTTCTCCTTCCTTCTGACCTTACATCTCCATTCCCTTCAAAGGTCTCCACTGCCTCAGGACCTGCCTCCTCGGGGTGCTGCCCCTCTGCCACTGGGCTGGGAGCGGGAGACTCCACAGTCCCTGCACTTGGGCTGAGAAGTCCCACGGGGACTCATCTGTTGATGGGTTAGTCAGCCCGATGGCCAGCCAGATCCATTCCGTAGCACTGCCCGAGGGGGAGCTTTACAAGTTCCCAGAGTCCATTGATATTTTCTGGGACTCTGTGTAGGGGATTGGGCTTGGCCATCTTTTCCACGGGAAATGCCTCTTCTTTGGAACAGCAACTCCCAGGAGTTCATGGAACTTCTTCTTCTCAGCTTGGGAAAGGGACGACTCAGGGGCAATGGGACAGAGTTTTATGAAATGATGACAGGGGGGCAGAAAGCTAAGAATTTTTTTTCTTTTACTCGAGATCCCGGGTGAGAGAATGAAACTGGTAAGTAACCAAATTAAAAATAAAACCAGAACGAATCATTTTTGCACCCAGTGTAACTCCTGGCCAGAAGATGTTGTGAAGGTGAAGTCTACAAGAAGGTGCAAAACAGAACTGGATAATTTAATGCAGGAAAGGTCAATCAATGGCATTTAACCAGGATGGACAGGGCAGGTGTCCCTAGCTGGTATATTCTAGAAGCTGGAAATGAGCGACAGGAGGGGTCACTTAACAACTGTCTTTTCTGAGGATTCCCACTGGGCAATGGAATCGGCTGCTGTCGTGAGACAGGATCCTGGGCTAGTTGGACGACTGGCATGACCCAGTCTGGCAGTTCTGATGTTCTGTTTGGTTTCTGTTCTTGTCCCCTCTGCACAAAGGAAAACAGAGCCTCGTCCTGAAGGGGACAGAAAATGGCCTGTGAAAGGCTAGTGTAGGTAAGGAAAGAGGCTTATTTATGTTTCCCTGATGGTCTAGTGGCTAGGATTCAGCATTTTCATTACTAAGGCCTGGGTTTGATTTCTTTTCACCTGACATCTGCCAAGTCATTCATCTTACCTCATTGTTACAGCAGCTGTGACCCAAGAGGTTCACTCAGGGCCCCTTTCCCACCTCTCCCTCACTGCCAAAACAGCACCTGCCATTTTCACAAGCCCTTCAGAAGAGGCAGAGCTGGGTGATTCAAACTGCCCCTCCCCTCTCCCATGTGGGCAGCCCTGCAGGAAGCTCTGTGGCACACACAGCACTAGCCCAGCACAGTGTCAGGTCGGTGCAAGATCCATTGGTTCAGTTTGGTTGTTGAAGGAGACAACACAGAACTGGCTCCAGCCCCCACTCAGTAACCTGGGGAAATGACCCACCAGGCCTGGGCCCCTTGAAGAGGCAACGATTCCCCACTGGCCAGGGCAGAGCCTCCCTCTCACACAGTCATCGAGCCTTCTCCCCCTGGTCCTGCCTCCCCCTTCACTCAGCTCTCACTGCTCGGTGCTGCCAGGGAGGGGCCTCACTGCGAGAGCCGCCTGGGCAGGTTCCTGCCGCAGAGACACGTCCCAGAGCAAGACGGATGCTCAGACCGACACTGAGTGTTGCTCAGCGCTGGGGTGAGACAGGGAAGGGCAAAAGGGTCTAACGGCACCTGCAGCCTTTCAGAACAGCCACCACCCCTATCCTCAAGTACGAGCCTTTCCCTCTGCCTCTGCTGGGCACTGCCTGGACTCAGGCCTCCCCAGTGCCAGCCTAAGGGCTCTGGAGAGGACATGGCAGCTTTGTAGGCAGAGTCCGGAGCCCCTGGCTGGGCAGGGCTCATTAAGCAGCTTTGGGGCTGGGCTGCTGCACAGCTTAGAGCAGGGGTGGGCAAAGACTTTTGATGGGGAACCACTCCCAGGGCTGTACTTTTCCATGCTATTAGTGGAGGAGGTGGGGGTCTGGGATGCAGGCCCCTATCCTCAAGTACGAGCCTTTCCCTCTGCCTCTGCTGGGCACTGCCTGGACTCAGGCCTCCCCAGTGCCAGCCTAAGGGCTCTGGAGAGGACATGGCAGCTTTGTAGGCAGAGTCCGGAGCCCCTGGCTGGGCAGGGCTCATTAAGCAGCTTTGGGGCTGGGCTGCTGCACAGCTTAGAGCAGGGGTGGGCAAAGACTTTTGATGGGGAACCACTCCCAGGGCTGTACTTTTCCATGCTATTAGTGGAGGAGGTGGGGGTCTGGGATGCAGGTTGGTGCAGACAGGAGTTTGGGGCAGAGGACTGGGGTGCAGGAATGGTTGCAGGGTGTTGGGTTGTGACCTGGGGTAGGGGGTTGGGGTGCAGGATCTGGGAGGGGTGTGGGTTCAGGAGAGGGGCAGAGGGTTTGGTTTACATGGGGTACCAGTGGGCTGAGGGAAGGGAGGGACTGGGGTGCCAGAGGCAGGCTCTTTTCTTCTCTTTCTAAGATACTCCCATATTTGATCATTATAGCACCTTTCTGACCACAGCTTGGAAATGGCAAATCATGTTCATGTGATTCGCCCTGGTCCCTCCCAGCCCTTCCTGAGAGTTGCTGCTGCCTTGGCTAACGCCCACCCAGAGCTGGCCCTAGATACAGGCACAAGGGCTGTGGCTCTGGGTGATGTGCTGGTAAGGCTGGCTGTATTTGGATAGTCTCCTGTGACCTTACCTGCTGCCAGCCAGCTAAGCAGCAGGGGAGGACAGAGAAACTCACTCACTAGTCTCATCTGGACACTGCAGGCAGCAAGAATTTGGGTCATTAGGTCAGTGGATTGGTGTCAATGGGTGCAAGAGATGAGCCTCTTCTCTTGCCACTGGGGAAGGTGGCTGGGCAGGCAGACCCAGGATCCAAGTCCCTTTCAGCCCCCAGGAGGAGGGAGCTGAGAGAGAGAAAGGAAGGGGGTGGCCAGAGCCCTCTCCCACGAGGTTGGGGCGGCATGGGGTCTGTGTCTGCTGCTCCCTCCTCCCACCAGGACTCCTGCCTGCTCCTTGCAAGCTGCTCAGCCTGGTTCTTGTTCTGGCCTCCCAGCCCAGAGCAGGCAGCTAAAGGAGAACAGAGCAGCCTGCAAGGCCCAGCAAGGTGACTGAACACAGCACCCTGAAGTTATTAGCACCAAACTCAAATCAGCTGAGGTTGCCACCCCCCCAGCAAAGAGTCACTAGTGGGATTTTTAGAAAAGAGCCAGCAGCAGCTGCAGGGATGCTGTGGGCTCTGGAATGAGCTGGGTGGCCTAGAACAAGCACCTAATGGCAGGGGATTTAGCTCAAGGGGCAGAGTATTTGCTTTGCATGAAAGAGGCAGTGGAATTGATCCCCATATTCTACAGGGGCCTCCTAACTGGTTTTCACTGGCAGAGCCAGCCAGGGGGAGAAGCTTTTGCCGTGGCCCCCTCCCTCTTCCTTCCTGCTCTCAAAGACAGACAGACCTTGTGTGAGGTCAGCAACGAAGCAGCCAATGCCCCACCCCCAGGGTACTGGCACCCCTCACCCCACCACTCTGCCTCCCTGGGGCCTGTCTCCACTGAAGAGCACAGAGGGCTTTTTAGAGCGAGTTTGGGGCTGTGGGTGTTTCTCTGCTTCTAATTTGTGGGGGAGAAGCCTCTTGGGGCAACATCTGCCCCCCTGGAGTGGGAGGTGTAAGGGAACTTGACAGGGGCCTGGCCCTGCTTTCCTGCCCCTTTCTCACACTCATCACAGAGCATCAGCAGCTGCCCCGGTGCTGGTGGGGGGGCCTTTTCTCAGCGGTTGGCAGCCAGAGGGTGGGGAATAGCCCGGCTAGGGGTCTCTGTGGCTCCACCCATGCTTAGGTCTGGCCCTGCCCCCCTCTTGCCCTGCCTCGGTTGCTCTGTGGCTTTTGAGCCTTCCCTTGGAGCAGTCAGCACCAGCCTCCCTGCTCAAGGTGCCCAGGGGAGGAAAGGGAATCTGGGCTCCAGCCTGGGGCACTTTCTGTCTCCTGCTTTCCCCCTGTCTCCAGCCTGGCTTTGGGTCTCTTTCCTGTCAGCCCCAGTGGGGCAAGGGGAAAAGCAGAGGGGCGGGTGCAAGGGCCACACTTGGGGGGGGCATCAGGTGATGCCACAGGAAAAGCTCCGTTGGCCTGGCTGGAACATGGCGCCACTTGAGCATGTTGTTAGTACCAACGTGCCCCCCTGGGCAGTCTGAGCAAGGAGCCAGGGACGGTCCCTGCAAACCTGGGGCCATTGGCCAAGGCTGCTGCTCTTGTGTCTGTGCTGGGATCCCCTGGGCCTCAGGAGCACTAGAGATGTCGGGCAGCTCTGTCCTCCCAGCCTGGGACTGTCTGTTTGGGCAACGCTCTCACACACCCACTGGCCCCTCCCCTCCTAGGACAGGGCTCCTGCCGTTCCTTGGTTACTCAGCCTAGAAGCTGGGCCTATCCCAAGTACAGGCCAGGTAGCAGGAGCTGCACTTACCTGGGCACCAAGGGGAGCCGCAATAAGAGCAGACCCCACCCTGTTCCTGCTTGGCTTTGAACTAGGGGCCTTTTGCATGTTAAGCAAACGACTACACCACAGAAACATGCTTAAGTCCATTTTTTTCTGTACATAAACTTGCACAAATATTCTGATACTAATTTTTTGACCAAGGTATGGGGGAAGAGGCAGAGCAAGAGCAGGGAACACGACCCTCCCCCACCCCAATACTTCCTTTACCTTTGCTCCCAATGGGGGCAGAGTGTGTGTGTGTGTGTGTGTGTGTGTGTGTGTGTGTGTGTGTGTGTGTGTGTGTGTGTGTGTGCACGCGTGCCAGATTTCAGTTACCAATCTGCCTGCAGGCATCAGGTGATCAAGCTGAGGCCACAAGATCATTAAGGGAGGAGATGATGGAACACACCATGTGTATAAGTTTTAAAGCTTTATTAACAAAGTAATAAAACAACAGCAGAGAGTGATGGGTGCTTCCCATGTCACTCAGAGGAAGGAAGGAAGCGTTAGTGCCCACGCCCTAACCCGCTTTCATACTCACACACTCGCTACCTGAGGCTGGCCAGGCCTGGGTGTAATGAAAGAAGAAAAGGGGGAAGGGTGGACAGGAGTTCAGTCCTGTGCGCACAAGTCGTCCAAAGTCCTCTGTGATCTCTGAATTGCTCCAGCTCTCAGGAGGGTTTTAAGTCCTGAGCTCTACCTCAGGATCTCAAAAGGAAAATCTGCAGGTTATCTGAAGGATAAAATAGATGGCAAATGACTAGAGAAATGTTCTGTGCCCTGTTCATATTTACGTGATTAAACCATGTCAAGGAGAACAATTCTCTGTGACCTGCTATAGTCTTGTCGCTTGTGAAGGCATCAATCAAATCACTAGTGTTGATTGTGCCGATGATTATTTCTCTCCCCGTGGAAGTTATTTCTGTCAATCTCTCTCACACACGCACAACTTTCTTAATGGATGTTGATTATTTTCTATTCATGCTAAATCAATATGAAATTGATGACAAATGAAAGGGACTTTTCTGTGATTCACAGGGGTCAAAAGAATGAAGATATTACAAGAAATAATCTAATTGTTGGTTATACGTCCTATATACAGCATAGTAATGTGGAAAAAGAGCTGGATGAAATTTTCTGGTGATATCCCTAAATTCATATGCTGAATGCCATTAACTTGCAACTACAGAATGAGCTTTAGAGTCAATGGTGAGGGACAGTGCATTACTTTTTTACAAATTACTCCACTTTGGATTAGACTGTAAGGAAAGTGCAGGGGTTGGGATGAAGGGAACACTGCAGAAGTTGGGGGCAAAGAGGGCACAATGCAGGGTTGGTGGTAAAGGGTGCACAGGGTGGGGATGCAGCAGATGGGGAACTCATGGATGCAGGAACAGTGGAGCAAGGCTGGGTGGGAATAAGACAGTGTCAAGCTGGGAAGTTTTCAGGGTGCATGAGAGCAGGGTCATGAACCATATTCATCATTTGTTACAGTATTTTTCTTCCATAATTTAAACTGCATGCATGTGCATGCACACACACACACACACACACACAGAGGGCTAGACGATCCCAGCGAAAACCACTTGCCATCCCCGCACCCCACATGTGCAAGACCTGCACTGCGCATGCAAGGACCGCCGGTGAACAGGGCAACTGACTGAAATCTAAGCGTATTTGTCGAGCCCTGTGTGTGTGTGTGTGTGTGTGTGTGTGTGTGTGTGTGTGTGTATAAATAAAATAGGTGTGTGCATGTGCAAAAATTCTCAGTAACTCATGTGCATCACAGTGGCACACATCCAAACAAGCGCACAGAATGTCACTCTTTGTGCTCAAGAAAAAAACTTGCTCCTCTCATGGGTGGAAAATCTTAAGAGGGAATACTGGTTGAGGGCTCCAGCTGGGGGTGTTATCTCAAAGATGGAGGGGACTGACATGTAGGTCACAGAAAGGCTACATTGAGGAGAGAAGAATCCCCAGAGTGCCCCCAGCTTAGGTGCTACTGTGAAGGAGGAGGAGGAAGAAACACCTCTTCCTGACATGGTAGCTCTGGGGCTGGGGTCGGGGCCAGGGCCATGGGATAGCCAACTGTCCTCTGACCACAGCACGTCTGGGCCAGGTTTGAGACCACTGGATAGAGGTATCTCTCCTCACCAAAGCCCTATAAGCTTGTATAATATGCTGCACCACAGCCACCTGGCCAAACAGCTTAAGGGAACTCAGGTTATAGGTTTCTTCCCTCCATGGGTCCTCTGAAGGCTAACAAGATTTGAGTTCTGACTGAAGCTTTTCCCCACAGTTAGAGCAGCTGAATGGTTCTCTCTCCTCTGTGGGTTGTCTTATGTTTAACAAAGCGTGACCTGTGTTTGAAGCCTTTTCTGCACTCAGAGCTGTTAAAAGGTGACTCTGGTATGTACTGTCTGATAGCTAGTAACACAGGAGCACCGACTGAAGCTTTTCCCACAGTCAGAGCAATTTAAAGGTTTCTCCCCTGTGTGGCCCCTCCTATGGGTAACAAGGTTTGACTTCTGACTGAAGCTTTTCCTACAGACAGAGCAATTGAAAGGTTTCTCTCCTGTGTGGCTCCTCCTATGAATAACAAGGTCTGAACCTCTACTGAAGCTTTTCCCACAGTCAGAACAGCTGAAGGGCTTCTCTCCTGTGTGGGTCCTCCTATGACTAACAAGGCCTGAGCTTCTACTGAAGTTTTTCCCACAGTCAGAGCAATTGAAAGGTTTCTCTCCTGTGTGGCTCCTCCTATGAATAACAAGGTCTGAACCTCTACTGAAGCTTTTCCCACAGTCAGAGCAGCTGAAGGGTTTTTCCCCTGTGTGGCTCCTCCTATGGGTAACAAGGTGTGAGCTGCTTCTGAAGTTTTTCCCACAATCAGAGCACTTATGAGGTGTGTCTCTGGGTTGTATTTTTTGATGGTTCGTAAAGTGTGGGAGCTCACTGAAGCTTTTCCCAGAGTCAGAGCACTTGAAGGGCTTCTCTCCTGTGTGGGCTCTTTGATGTTCAATAAGAGTTTCACAATCACTACAAGTGCAGGGTGACTGTTGATGGGGGATTTCCTGTTGAATGGTTTCTGTGTTTCTTTTCTCCCTTCTGCTCCTGTGACTGGAGTTACCCTGTCCCCCTCCTGGATGGTTTCCCTGCTGCCTTTCTAGGGTAAGCTGACTCTCACAGCTCTCTCCTTCTTCACGTATCTGGAAAACATGCCCTTCAGATCTTCCCAATAATATCTCACATGGAGCCACTTCCTCCCATTCTTTCTGCTGAAGACTCTTCTCATGCTTCTCAGTCAGCATGCCATCACCTGTTGGGATAGAGAAATAATACAGACGGGAATTAGTGTCTATGATGAACTGAAAGGAAACTCTGAAAGAGGAATAGAAAAAGGGACACACTCAAATAATGGTTAAATTATCATAAACTGAGTTCATCCTCCTTTACAACCCTTCCACAAAGGAGAGAACGCAGCCTTTCCCCACCCAGTGCACTGACTGGAGTTGAAGACAGGCTGATGAGTCAGACTTCATGAAAACACACAAGTTACATCTGCTATAAGGAGACAGAAATTGGTTTCTGAGTCAGTTTAACTGATTGCTCACCTGTGTGGGTGTTGCTGATGCTCTCTCCCTCCTCACAGTTCTGGGGATCTGGGACCCACAACTCCCCCTCTCGCTCCACCCAGGAGGTTACATCAGTTTGAGAGACTGGAAATCCTGTTTGGAGAGCAATAAACCAAGTGCTGATCTTGTTCATTAAAGTCTGTGCCATTACTGCTTCCAGAGCCAGGATCCGCGTCACCCACCCAGAGAGGCTCCTTTCCCCACTTTGCAGAGACTGGGCTCTGGCTGCTAGAAGAGCCCAGGCCACACTCAGCTGCATTAAAGGTACATCACCTTCCCCCACCCTACCCTGGGAATGGTCCAGCTTATTCCCCAGGGGAACTGAGTGCTCTGCTGCACTCTCTAGGATAAAACTCAGTCCCCCTCACAGCCTGTTCCATCCCCCCACCGTCCTGGGGCCGGTCAGAAACACACTGCTCAGAAGGGGAGCTCTAGTAAGGGCGTGCAGGTCTGATGCCAAGGTCCCCAGGGCAAGTTCAGACTGCAGCTGCCACATGGCAGGTCACTAGGACTTGGAGAGGAAGGACCCAGCAAAGCTCTAGCTCCCCAAGGCTCCACCCAAAAAGCTCCTGGCTGGCAGGGCTGGGCTTCCCCTGATCTGTGGCTCAGATGCTCTCCTTGGGCCAGAAGGAGGCAGAGGAAGTTGCCTGAGCATCTAAGTGAATCCTTGGCTGGTTGCTTCAAGTCCTGCCTATGTGCCACACTTCTGATACCAATTGCCTGTGTTTGGTTGGGCCCTGCCAGCGCCCACAACAACTGCCATTCCTGAGGCTGCCCAGGGTGGCGCTGGGCTTCTGTTGGGGGAAACCAGGGCGGAGTTGGGCCGTGCTGCTTCTCTGGTGCTGGTGGCTGTTGCTCAGCTCCCCCTCTGCAGCCTCGATTCTACTCTGCCAGTAGTAGCCTTTGTGTGGTTTCCTAGTCTGGTTCTTGCGGTGAGCCTGGCCTTTGATTTGGTGTCCCTCCAGGGCTGCATAGAATCTATCACCTTTACACCTTGTGAGCGTGTGCCCCTCAGCTTCAGCCCAACCCCTTCTCAGAACTTCATTTAGTGTTCAGAAGATCCACCTGTGATGTGACCATGGAGATCATTGTGCTACCGCTGTCACACAACTGCAAGAAACCTTGTGCGAAGTGTGCTGAGTGCCATATCAATGGGAATGTTCTGATGTGATGACTATGATTATCTTGTTTATGTCCATTAATTTTGAACTAGAACAGGCTGGGTTTTGGCAGAATGGTGAGGCAGTGGGTACCAACTAACCAGGAAAGCACATTCCTGAGCAGGAGGAGGCTAATCAACACACAGATCTCTGTAGCAGCTGCAAACACAGTCCTAAGAGATGGCTCAGAAAGACACTGACCCTTGTGCACAAGAGCGGAATGAGGGAATAATGGATATGGATGTTTTGTTTGAACGAACAGACAGGAGGCTAACAGGTAGAACACATGGAACACAACATGCATCTTGTTTGTGTCAATGTATGAGAGAAGAAGTCACAGGAGGAGCATGATACTGGCTGAGGGGCAGCATTCTCACTGCTGACTGAGCTCCTACCGTTTTTGGGTTGGGACAAGTCGCACTATACCTGTGCCTGAGGAACTGGGACACTAGCACCCTGCTCCTTTTCACAATAAATTTGGCCAAGTGCCTTAGCCTGCGAATGGAGTCTGGGTCTTTCTTAGCGGCAATCCTGAGCTGTGCTGCATGGATAAGCCGCAAGCTTTGCCAGTGCTGCTGGCATCAGCTCTCCAGAAAGAGCCACCCCGAACAGCCTGCAACGCTCTGCGGCGCTAGCAACAATTTATATGGCACTGCAGTTGCTATGGGAAGCAAAATTATCAATCACAGCAGCACCTGGGAACTCTGGCGTAAATCAGGACCCCACTGTGCTATTGGGGTGCTCATATGGAGCTCAGCATCACCCCTCTTTAGTGCAAGTATCCTTCCCAGCACTGAGAAACAGGGACACTCTATAATAGCTATTAAAGAGAGAGGTGACTGCACACAGATAGTCTAAGAGACTTGATCAAGGTCACACAGGAAGTCTGAGACGGGCAGAGAACTGAACACAGGTCTCCTGAGCACAAAGCCAGACATTCACACAGGACGAAAAAGTCCCTACACTTTAGGTATCCTTCCCAGCCCTGAGAAACAGGGACACTCTATAATAGCTATTAAAGAGAGAGGTGACCGCACACAGAGAGTGTAAGAGACTTGATCAAGAACACACAGGAAGTCTGTGATGGGCAGAGAACTGAACACAGGTCTCCTGAGCACGAAGCCAGACAATCACACAGGAAGAAAAAGTCCCTACCCGAAGATATTTCACTCTAAAAAGACAAGACAAATGATGTGATTTATCACCACTGCACACAGAGGCAAGTGAGCCCCTAGAGAATGAAGCTGAACTTTTGAAAGGAACCCCAGCCTGTGCCTGAAATGCAAGGAGAGCTCATGTTTCTCTACTACAGAGCTACCTGGGACAAAATACTCACAGAGCGTGAACTGCCTCATCCACCCTCCCTCAGCCCCAGCATCCAGCCCCTCCCACTGGCAAGAACAGCATGTCACAGAGATTAGCTACAGGCAGGGTAGGACTCTGGGAACCGCACCCTCCTTCCAGTGGCTGAGCACACTGCCACATGGGGACCCTGCAACCACTAACAGCAGCCATACCCAGACCTCTGGTACCTGCTGTTCCTGCCTGAGCCCTTCTACTCACACCTCTGGTCAAGGCACAAGATGGGCAAGATGAGGGGAAACGCAGTGAGACCTTAGTTGTGGGAAAAGCAGCACCATTGTTTTATCTCTGAACCTGCTTTCCCTGGGAGGCGGTATGGAGGGGACAGTCTTTCACACAAGAGCCAGGATTATTATGGCAGATACTCCTGACATTGGGGGCAGAGGCAATGAATAACCCTGAACCAAACCCAACCCAGATGCTTCAGAGCCCACCCAGCTGCTGTTACCCAAGGGGACAGGAATCCTTACTCAGCCAGTTCACAGACTCATAATTCTCCTGCATCACATCTCTGTAGAGGGCTCTCTGGCCCGGGTCCAGCAGAGCCCATTCCTTCTCAGAGAAATACACAGCCACCTCCTCGAAGCTCACCGGCTCCACCACAGCCATTTCCTGTCCCTGGCTCTGCAGGTCAGAGGCTGAACTGCAGATAGACATGGGTGTTCTGCAGCCTGGCAGGGCAAGAAGGGGAATTAGAAACAATTCAGAAGAGGTTTTAATCCTTTCCATGCTCCCATTCTCCCCAGACTCTGTCCCTAATGACACATGTGTAAGACACTGCCATTGTGGGCAAAAGTTTTAGTCTAGATATTCCATAAACAAGCGTTAGATCCCAAATCCATATTCATTGCTGTCTGTACCTGGCTTGAGTTACAACATTATTGCGTATGCCACAATGGGATCTAGTTCTCAGCACCCAGTGTTTCTAATAACAAGCCACATATTCATCTGCCTGAACATGGACATAGGTTAAATGCAGGCTGCTGTATTTAAAACCCTTAGTCTTCATTCACAAATTTGCAGCACAAACTTTGCTCTCATCTCACAGAGACGTTACAAACCCTTTCCACAACAGAGAATCAGTGAAGTTAAGCATCTGAATGGTGGTGTTATTATTAAATACGTGTGCTTATTATTAAACAATTGTGCTGAGTGTTTGCAGGATGAGATCTTAAGATTCATGGGATCAGAAGATATCCTCAGTCATGCAGTCTGACCCCCTCAGTGGCACAAGCCATTACACTTAGTCCAGTTACCCAGGCACAAAGCTGTTTCCCCACAGTGTATTTTCTAGAAAGTCCCCCAGTGATTTGAAGACATTAAGAGATGGGAGAATCTACCAGTTCTTTGTTCATTTGTTTCAGTAGCTAATCTGCTTCCCTAGCAAACATTTGTGCCTCTTTTCTAACTTAAAATAGTCTGGCTTCAGCTTTCACTTACTGGCTCTCACTGAGCCGTATCTACTCGATGGGGTGGGCAATACATTTTGATGGGGGGGCCAAATGGAAAGTGGCTGAGAGCAGCACTCTTCCATTACATTAATGCATGAAATGCAGGGTCTGGGATGAATGTTGGGAGAAGAAGGAAGCTTGGGATAACGGTTTGGGATGCAGAACAGACAGAGGGGTCTAGGAGGGAGTTTGGGTGAAGGAGGCAGGCTGTGATCTAGGACACTGGATTAGCAATCTACTCATTAGATATTTAAAGTAACTTTCATTTAGAGAAGTGACTTGGTGGACTAATAAGGGGCTGTGGGTTCCTGACCACAGAGAGCTCTTGCATATATAGCTCCACGAGGAGGACAGAGTTTGAGTATGCAGAGTGGGGAGCAGAGATTAGGAGGGGAAGGGAGAGATTGGGGTGTCAGAGGCAAGCTCTGGACAGACTTATCTGAATGACTCCTGGCCAGAGCCCAAACACCTTAAGCAGGCAGACTTAACAGCCCTTGGGGATCCAGCAGTTTTTTGCCTTGAATGAACTGATACAGTGGTAGCCAGGCAGCGCTCAGCCTTTAAGCCTATTTATTCTTTGAAACCAACCCCAGATTGAAACTGACTGAGCAGTGAAATCTGAGCCTGAAGGTGCCATCCATTTTGTGCTTTAACTTCACCCCTTTAGCATCACAAACCCATAGACCAGTGTTTCTCCAAGTGTCCGCAGGTCCCCATGCAGCACCCCTGGGGCTCCTCACTGATCAGTGGGTGAGATTTAGGGCTGTGTGCACGGTGGTCGCTGGGTTTGTTTGGTAACTTCAATGACAATCCCATGAAGATGTTTTCACAGGAATTTTCTCATCGTTTAAAGAATTTCCACCTGCAAACTCACCTTGTCTGAAAGCTCCCAGAGATTTTCTTTTTGCTCTCTCCAGTGCAGAGGGCAGAGTGTCTGGTGGGGGAAGGGATAAAAGAGGTGAGATTCCAGGCCCTCGTCTTTATAATAATGTCCCCACTTTGAACTCTGCGTTTCAATTGTATCAGAGACCAGACAGAAACACACTCAGGTATTTAGTACGAAAGAGTCTGAAACTTTCATTTCCTCTCTCACTCGGGCACCTCCCAGCAATGGAGCCAATATCCCTGCAGCCTCACACCTGTCCTAGGAGAGACAAGCTGTAAATGAGATTTACTCTTCCCTCCTCACCTCCTCCCACTGCCTCTTATCATAACCTGGATGAAACAGCCCTATGGTGACCAAGTGACTGTGTTTGACCAGCTTGCTGGAGAGTGTGTGTGGCTGAGACCTGAAGGTTTCCAGTCTGATTCTGTGAAGGGAGCAGAGATCCATAAGTCTATCAGGCCAGTTCACCTAGGCCCTGTCGCTGGGAAGCAGTGGCCCACTTGGAAAACTAGATTGAAAGCAGGGTGCCAGGGTACTGTCTGGACAGATTGCTTGATGATTAGCTGTGGAAAGAAAATCCCATTGCCATTGTGAGCAGGGGAGGCACACCCAGCCAAGCCTTTGTCTTTGGAAGAGGGAGTTTTGAACTTAACCCCACAGGGCAAGGGGGAGGGGCAAGACTTGTGTTCACCAAGGAAGGTTGCAACTTTTTAAATGTAAAAAACCAGAATTGTCAATGTACACTTGGGGTGGATTTGTTCCTACTGCTTATGTTAACTTGCATAACCACTGTACTGCTGTTACTAAGAATGGTAACGATGTCCACTGTGCATGATTTTGTACCAAAACCCTGGAAATTGTCAATGTACTTAGGATGTGTTTGTTCCGGCTACTTATGTTAACTTTCATGAGCACTGTACTGCTGTTACTAAGAATTGTAACAATGTTCAATATGCATGATTTTGTACCAAAACCCTGGAAATTGTTAAGAAATGTACCCAAGGACACACTGTATCTTCAAAAGCCTTGTGACCCTGGTATTTCACTATTAATACTTGTAATTAGTGTTGGAGCTTCTCACCTGAGAAGGGGCATTCCAAAATTGATATTCTGTGTGGGAAGGGAAACTGAGGCACGACATCATTTTGTGCTAAGGGACCCATGTAAAGTGTCTAATGAAAGCTTGTTCACTGTTGATTCTATGTATGAGACGTGTGTACATGTGTGATATTTATATGTGAAGGTTCTCATTAACAATCTTACTCTCAACATTTTCTTCCATTCATTAATGTATCTTTAGAGTTTAGATTCTAAAGGATTGGCCCAGCGTGATCTTGTGGGTAAAATCTAACGTGAAAATTGGCTTGGTACTGTGGCTGAGTCCTTTGGACCAGGAGGATCTGTTGGAGTTGGTGAGTGGGTTTTGGTTTTCAAACTGGGACAAAGGAATTTGGGTTTTTCTTTTTTTTTCTCCCTTTTGTCTCTCTGAGAGTCCTCTGCAGCTACAGAGAGGGACAAGCATGTCTCTCTCTCTCTCCAAGACACCATTCTTCATTTTCTGTAAGTAGGGTAAAGTAGGGGTTTTTTTCCTCCACAGCTAATCATGAAGCAATCTGTCCAGACAGTACCCTGGCACCCTGCTTTCAATCTAGCTTTCCAAGTGGGCCATTGCTTCACAGCGACGGGGCCTAGATGCCCTGGCCTGATAGACTTATGGATCTTTGGTCCCTTCACAGAATCGGACTGGAAACATTCATGTCCCAGCCACACACACTCTCCAGCAAGCTGGTCAAACACAGTCACTTGGTTACCAGAGGGCTGGTTCATCTTCCTGGCTATCCCCACCCCATCTGAAACAACCTCCAGTCCCTCTGCAACTTCCTTCCCCTTGTCCCCACTGGACCTTTCTAACCCTAAGTCACTTTTACCCCCCTCAGGCACAGCAAACTGCTGGCCCACCTCACCAGTATACATATATCTGTTATGGTACTCCATGGATATGAAAGCAGTTTGTTTACTTTTTATGTATTCAATAGTCTAGTCAAGAGGGCAATAATGTATTTACTATGTTTTATCTCAGACCTACAGGAAGAAATCACAGCCAATGTGGCCAGAGGCTGGCCAGCACCGTCTGTGATTTGGTGGGCATGTCATGATTATGAGGGTTAGCCAGCAGCCTGGGGATTAAGGGGTTAACTACACCTAG